TGCAATGAATACACGGTAGGACGCCTACTGGTTGACCTGGCCTGGCGTGACCCGACCTTGCCTAAATGCATGAAGACATCATCAGAGATCAAATTACCATGGCATCCGTGATCAATAACCCCCCCCCCCCCCAAGATTAAACAACCTCACAAGTAGGTGCAACGTACGATGCACGAGATGTTAAATTTATGACACTGAAAGCCCAATTTCAGATGTTTGACCTGACCTTGACACGAACTGTGATCTCAAAATTCAAGTTTCAATTGCTCATCTAAACCGTCTCGTAGCGCTCTTTCGTTTGCCGCTGCGCCTTTTGGTTCTCGAGTTATCGGGTGAGGGCGTTTAATGCCCCCCCCCCTCCCCCCAACAAACGGCGGGTGGCCGAATACCCCAGGAACTGCCGGGTTCAAACATTGGTACGTGAGGCGTCTATCAAGTATAGTTTATAATTAACAGAATGCTATTTGTTTATTAGCCTAAACCAACAACAAACAGTTGCAACGGAAATTGATCCAGAACTGTCAGCTCATTCCGGAAATACCGTGTGCTTTTGCGAAATAAGTTTTATGTATCTGTGTCACACAAATCATCAGCTCCGAGCAACAGCATCGACTAAAACAATTTATGTGAGAAGCCACAGACCTTTGCACATTCAACGTCAGCAAACAAAGTACTTAATCTGTTTGGAGAAAATGGCCAAATGACGAACGCTAGCTCGTTCTCCCTGCTGCCACTGCCACCCAGGCTGCCATTGGCCTGTATAGTCGACCACATAATGATGTTCCACTTTTCACAGGCAATTATTTGCCTGGAGTGGTCGGCTGTGCCGCAGCACACGGGCTGAGTTCACAAATTATAGCTTTGTCCCAATGCTCACAATCGACACGCTTGATTGCGTGATAAACGGCACAACTTCGCGCTCCGGTCAACTGATAGCTTCGCATATCATTCTGTAGTCGACTATACATGCAGAAAATATGGTTGCTATTAGCTTATGTATGAAATTGTAAGATTATACTTTTTGTCTTTGATTGAGGAAAAGTTTCGCCCATTTGCATAAAGACGTTGCAAGCTAGGTTACCAACAGCCACTATTCACCCAGAGAAGTATGTGACTGACCTATTCATTGAAGGTTCATGGGGGTACGTGGAAACTTCTGCCAAGCATAGCTTCCTGTCTCAAGCCAGGACCGCCCGACTTTGACTTGTCTTGTTCTGACTACACACCACACAATACGTACACCGACAGCGATTTTCGTTTTTCGATGCTCATTTTTGTCAGTACATGCTCACTGGTCGCGCCACCGATGGATGTCCTATTGAAATAATAAATAAAACATTATGAGCTAATCTGGAGGGCGCTGTCATCTCATTCAGGCTGTATCGAGCTTACCGTTTTGATGAGTGCAGATTTTATCGTTCTCGGCTCATGTTTCTTCAGTGGGATATATTTCCAGAAAAAAGAAACTGTTTAGACCGAATAAGTTCAGAACAAGACTAATATAACTAGAACATTCGAAAATCAGAAGGTTAAATCATTCAAGCTGCCCCATTACAAGTAAAACTCAAAATAAAAGGCATGGAAAAAACGTCCATTTGGAGTCTGTTTTTAGTCTTTTGGACCAGCCCATAAATGCAGACGGTATGTAACGGCTTCATCTTGAGAGCGACTGAAAAACTCGTGACCGGCCACCGGTTATCGCAAGACATGACGTTTTTGCCGAAGTTCCTTTTATCAAAATACTCTCAATTTATCACAAACTAAGTCGCGTTTGAACCTTAAGCTTTATTAAAAAAATAATAGAAATGTTGTGTCATGTCAGAATGTACACTCTTCCAGACGCTATACCAACGAAACCCACATTAGCCTTATGCGTACCAACTATGTTCCACCATTGAAATCGCGGCCTCTGGCAGTTCAGTGCGGTTGTAAAATGGCGACTCTCAAATGACGTCACCATGACATATCCGGCTGCAGTTTGACAACTGATGGGCAGGACGGGCCGGCGCTCTGTGCTCTTTTGTCGCTCATTTGAAAGTCGAAACGGGTTAGGGGCGCCTGAGCACGTGCGAGTGGGCTTCAGAACAATGATGTCAATAATACATATGATCATGGGTGGAGAATTGTTTTCAAAGTTGGTATGGCGCCAGTTGCTTGAAACAATGCTTAATAGCAGAAACGTTGACACATAAGGAAAATCTGGGTACATAGGTATAACAGTGCACTTTTTGTACATTACATGACGGTTCCATATAACGTATATATCAAATTTGAGATGAAATAGTGTAATTGACACCGAACAAATTATTAAAACGCATCGAGATGCAACCTTAATTAAACAAAGTATGCAGTGGATTACTTGTCTTGTTCCCTGAAACTCCTTGTTCATGATACAAAGCATTTTTACCTCATATTTTATATTTTTATAAGCTGTAATCCTTAAATTTCATAGTTTTTACCCTAAAAGTTGGTATGGCATTGTCATACCATTTTTTAAGTTGGTGTGGCGCATGCCATACCTGCCATACCGCATTCTCCACCCATGCATATGATGGTGTCAACATAATAAAAAACATACCCGATATTGATCTAGCGCATGTTATGAGGTTACTGGCGTCAAGCATATGACAAAAATGTAAAAGAAAAAAACGTAAGACAAAATAAAAATACAAAATATCTGCTAAAAACATAAAATATCGAGGAAAAAAGTAAACCTGCACTTACTGCACTGCACCACTGCACCTCACTGCACTGTACTTCTTAATGCACTGCACTGCACTGCACTGGAAAGTACCCTGCAGGCAATAGTCCTGAGGAGGCTCATATTTACCGCACTGTTTTGGTATATTCGGAACTTCCAAAATATTTTAATGTTTCAGGGAATTCTAAGAGGACTCGCTAATAACTATGTCATACCTTAATACCTGATACCTGATATTTGGGATCATTGAAGGCACAAGGATTGTCCGGCGGATCCGTCGTAGAGAGCTATGTGTCTTCATTCACTGACACCATAAGTCAATAAAAAAATCCGACGCCCGCTGACATGCTTGCTTTGTTTTGAGGCTCTAAGCCCGTGCCGGGCGGGGAGAATGTTTGAACACCCCTTTGCGTTTTTGGCACACGTGCTCATGCATCTTTCCCGCATATGTTTGGAAAATTTCAGACTCAGGTCTCTCAAGGTCAGGTCACCATGTCACGCCAAGTGACCTCACCTAACAAAAAGCTAGAATCCTCGTCATAGCTTCACCGACTGAATGATCGCCTTGAAACTTTCAGCAATTGCTTAGAGTGACAATGTATACAAAATATCTATCTCGAAATTTTGATATCGGTGACTTAACCCGCGCCCCACTGGGGGGGGGGGCTATTTATAGCCCCCCCCCCTCCCGTTTTTCTGCAATAACTTCCGAACCGCTTGACGTATCGACGCCAAACTTTCAGTACCTTTGGCTGCATTAATTTGACACCTTGTGTCAAAATTTGAACTTCGTACCTACCATAGGTCGGCCGGAAATGACGTCAGAGTGACTTCATGTTCGGCCGATTTCGACGCAAAACATTGAACCACGGCAATCGCTCCCAAGAGCTCAGTTTTTAAGCTAGATCCATTTTCTTTGCATGAGAGGACTTAGAATAGACTGCGCTATCAAACTGCTATCTCGGATTTTCGAAATTTTGGAAATTTCGAAAATTTCATATAATAAAATTCAAAATTTATATTTTTACATTTTTTTCAGAAAATTTTTGTTTTTTCGAAAAAAAACCGGAATATATGTGATAGAACGCATTATTATGACTAACTCTAGCAAGTTTTAGCTAAATATCTTCAAAAATGGCCAAGTTATACGCATTATTGCAAAAAATTAACAATTATTAATTTTTCAAATCAATTTTTCAGCACGAATTTGACATCGTACGCCAATATAAATAGCACCATCGTGTTCCTGAGCTCAAACTGCATCCAACAGACACCTTTTTTGTTGAAAAATTTTAACTTCAAAATTTGACCTTTTTTGACCTGAAAGTGACCTGACCTAAGCTAAATTTGACTCAAAATGACCTCGAATGACACAGACGACATCAAATTCGAAATGTTTGGCCTAAATGGACCATAAAACATGTGTCACGTGACCGACGGATGATATAATATTTTCGTGACCTGTGATGACCTGACCTTGACCTGAAAATCAAAGTACAAGTTTGGTACCCTCAGAGTATCTAGAGCATCTGTTCACGAGTGTGTGAACCAAAAATGAGCCTGATCTGACTTGTAAGACGGCGGCCAGAGCCCAAAACGTGAAGAAGCCAAAATGCTAATAATTTTTACTTTGACCTGACCTGTGACGTCATCGGTGACCTCGAAGTCAATGAAATTAGGTTTCGCTCGACAGTTTTTCCGGGGCTATCAGACGCCGTTTGAATTTTGACGATCGGCCCAGTAGTTTCGGAGTTAGGAGGGGGGGGCTATGAATAGCCCCCCCCCCCCCAGTAGGGCGTGTTATACGCAGACCCCAGTGGGGCGCGGGTTAAGGTCAAGTCAATTTTGCGTCCTCTCCATTATAGGTCAATGGGAACAAAAATTGAGCGACGCCGTTTTTGACGAACGTCGTTCAAAACACTCTCAAACATCGGGTTATTGGTGACCTTGACAAGCTGAATCGAAAAATGGCACCTGTGACCTCTCCTTATGTACCTGAGGCTATATCATGTCATGAAAGGTCCCCAGCAGTTTTTTGACAATAACTTTTGATAGAGACATGCTAGATAGAGACATGGTGCCTCAGATGTGTTCGGCTCGACGATAAGAATCGGTTGATATGATGCATGAACTTTTCCGGTCAGGTGCATGGACTTTTCTGGCCATTTTGAAACCTTGACTTGAGGTCAAATTTTCAAAATGACCTTGCAAGGTCAAATTTTAGTTCATTCGACGCGTCTCGACGAGAGGAACGCGATGCTTACAAAGTTAATGTCGTCACTTCCTTGAGTCAAAAGTCATTGCATAACCTTTTCATAAAACGGCTTTGTTTGGAGTTTTTGCTCTCTGGAGGCTAAATCGTTGACCCGAGTTTTTCAAACTTTTCAAACTGAATCATTTGCGATCATGACTCTACAAAAAAACGGCCAGAATAAAGCTGACCGGATACAAGCGAACTCACTTAAAAGAGCAATAACTAGCTGGCTTTCTGCCGATCATCACTGCACCTACATGCAGGATATGCAGGATCCCAGTTCAGCTGAAAAATCGGCCACTGAGCACGTGCATTAATTTTTCGAAATGTCATCCCAAACCGGAGCTGGCCCTCTGACCGATCGGCAGCGGTGGGCACATTGACTGCGTTACTGTAACCCCCACCACCCGAGAGTGGGAGGCAATCTGACAGATATGTCAGACGACTTCTGACAGCCCTGTGCCGCGCCTGATTGACATTTGGAGGATGGTCTGGTGTCGAATGATATAAAACCGGCGGGTCCCAGCCAGAAGGTGTGCGGTCCCAGTTTTGGAGCCAGCCATGAAGCTCCTCTCACTTCTCGCGCTGCTTTGCGTGGCAGTCCTCTCTACGGAGGGTAAGCGGGCGGTGTGGAGCACGCCGCTGAGACAGCTCAACCGTCCGATAATAGATTCTACACTTTTGCTTTGTACTAACTTTTCTCGTCGGCTTAGAATGAAAGGCAAATTAGGTAAATGCCGGCAAAAAAAACTACAGATTAGAACAATCTCGCGCTCCCCGGTGAGAAAGTTAACTTGTTCTCGTTCGCACAAAATTGTTGCATATACCTGTCATATAGATTAATAAATGATCAGAATTTATAATAGGTCTTACATGCTTTCATGTGTTTGCAGCCACCTTCAAATGCAACAAATTTGGTGAGATTTGCTCCAAGGGCAAAAACTGTGCTCCAGGACTGGGCAAGCCGGGCCTGACTTGTCAGAGCAGCAAGAAGATCGGTAAGTATTAGATTCGCGACAGGATATACAATTCATATAAGTCTCAGCACTCAGGACGTAGGTACCTATAGTAGATTGTGAGCTTCATTGAGAATCTGTGATTGTGCCGATGAGACTACAAGCAACGTTAGTAAGGACTGAAAATAATTAAGATATTGTTTTCTCAGCAACTTTTTACCAAGTTTTGACAAAGTTTATGTTGATATTCTGACAATAGATATTTTATTTGTTCATACATACAACAATAAATTGAAATCGATCGATTGATTAATGAATTGTAAGTACAGTTTTCCCATATGTTTCTTACAGTAATTGATGCACGTTCTTATCTACTAGGTATCCTGAAATCCAATGCTAAGAAATAATTCAATAAAAAACATTGATATTCTTGCATATAGTCTATATCACACCATACAGCATTGGTATTAATAAAACTAGCACAAAACGTTATGTTAAAGCTAATTACTAATAAAAGATAACCAATCTACCATTGCTGTAGCAGAGCTAGCCTTTTTCCTCATGAGAGTGACGATTGATCTTTATTTTTTTTAGGCGGCTGTGCGGATCTGTGCCAGTTCGGTGGTAAATATTGCCCGGATGGAAAGATCTGCAAGTATTCCAAGGGCAGACGCGTTTGTGTCTTCCCCAAGAAGTACAAGGGTAAGTTGTTTAGTGCCCTTTGCTGCAGCTCGTGTATAACTAGATGCCCTGAATGCGTGGGCGGAAAAAACGTTTGAGAGATTTTGTTTGTACTTAATCATTTTTTATGATGATGTACTATTGTATTGAAGCAAAATGGACTCATTGATATATGAGCGTGAGTGGGAAAATAATTATAAATAATTCAAAAATTGTACTATTGTGTTCACATAAACTGTTGAGTGTTGATCCCATCCATTCAACTCTAGTAAATTCTAAGATGTTGAATAATCTGAGGGTACTATGTCTCTAGATAAAAATCGCATTTTTTAAAAGTAAACTGCTCCTTTTAAAAACTATCATGTAAACATGGCATAATTTTCAGATATGCGATGAATTTTGATTATCAAATAATGATATTTTTCAACTAGTAGGTAAACGCAATCTGACAGTTTTTTTCCTTCCAGTCAAGAAGTGCACTAAGTTCGGAAAGTCTTGCGCCCCTGGTCGCAAGTGTATTCCCTGCTACCTGCGCAAAGGACTTTGTTGTCGCCGTGCCGCACTGCTCAGTGAGTATGAAACAATAGAAGAAACCACACGTTTAGGACAGTGGAGAGAACCACAATTTTGAGACTGTTGAAGCGGAAAGGACTGTATGCTAAATCCAGTGCACAACACCGTCCTTATGAGGTTTTCGAAAAGGGTTAAAAGTGTTGGTGATATTGGATGATGCCCTCGGCGTAACAGTACTTAGAATAGTCAGCGAAAATAATCTCCGATGAACACGACGACTTACATGCGGCCTAGCGAACTTTTACCTATCAAGTTCGTGAGAGTATAGGAGATTTGTATTTTGCCGTACAGCTTTGCAGTTTTTATCCAAACCTCTCCATTCGGTTCTTAGTTTCATTTTGATCCCATGGTTCTCGTAATAACTTAGTTGCGACACTTTACAAAAAGTGAAATCATTATTAACATTTGATAACGGAATGCATGCTTGCCTGTTTCAGGAAAGAACTACTGTGGATTGAAATACAAGGTCTATGGCAAGAAGTGTGGTACAAAATACTTCAGGAAGGGCTGCTACAAGGTTGGAAACTACTGTCCCGACGGCAAGCAGTGCCGCAGGTACAAGAACGGCAAACTCGCTTGCGTCTTCAAAAAGAAACGTAAGCATTTTGTGTAGAAGTCATCTCACCATTGCTGAATCAATTTGACTAAAACCACGGACTGAAACCTCTAAGAAAATAGTGAAGTTCATGCCATAAACAGATTGATGTAGTGGTTTATCAGTTTTGCATGATGACTCACTATGAGTGCATAGCCAATAGACATATGGAAAATAATGTGCAATGACGACTAGAAAACGAGTTTTAATGAAAATAAAACACACCATTGGTTCGTGATACATATTTACTTATAGCTGCAGATAGCTGCGGTATACACTATAGCGAAATCTTAGGTAATTATCTTAACGCTGATTGTTTATGAGATGTTGATTAACAACAAGCACCTCATCGTTGGCTGACAACATAAGCGTCAAACATTGTTTCATTTCAGTGCCTGCCTGCAACTCCTACGGTCAGCTTTGCGGCCAGAAGAACGACAGGAACTGCCAGTACTGCTTCCTGAGGAAGGGACTGTGCTGCCGCCGCAGGAAGCTGCTCGGTATGCTGTTTTTTATAACATGAATATTGAATAGTATAAGTTAAAATGTTCATTCTGAAGTGTTTACAAATTTTGGTACCATATTGTGTTTTCAAGCTCCTACTTTTCTTTTTAATCATGGAGAAGGTTTTAGCCTTACAGCAAATCTTCATTGCATGCCTTCGTTGTAGATTTATTTCGGAAAGTCAAATCAATCACAGAAAGTAAATTTCAAAGCTCCCATTTTTCAGCAGCATAGTGCCATACTTTGTGTAGGTTCACACCTAATTTCTCACCACTGTGTAACCTGTATCGACACCGGGTCAACTGAACTGGCCCGCCTTCTGTCTCAGGACCGGCTGCCAAGCACTGTCGCTACGGTGGCAAATGGTGCCCGAAGAGCTTGACCTGCAGACAGAGCATCAAGAAGGGTGTCGTGATCCGTCGCTGCGTCTGTAAGTCGCGCTCAGATGGATTTGCAGCATGTTGCGTTTCTAGAGAAAACGCATAGAGTTCCGTGTCCCAGACTACCAGTATTGCGTCATAAACAGTGAAGCTTGAAAAACACGCATGACATGGATATAACAATACAGAGCATGATTGTAGCAAGTAATCCCATCTGTTCGTCTTGCTCTAGTCTTTTTGCGTTTTGAGTGTTTTTTTTTTTTTAATGGATTACTCTAGTTCCACTTTTTCTGAGTCATGCGAGTTTTCACGTTCAATCGAAAACCAACACATGCTATTATTTTGCAGACATTCCGAAATGCAAACGCGCCGGCCAGTCGTGCGGTATTTTCAAGAGGAAGGTCTGCGTGAAATGCGGCAAGAAACTGTGCTGCCGTAAAGGAGTCACCAAGCGTAAGTTTGCCAAAACATCAGTTTGTTTAGGCTAGAAAAAGACACATAAATTAACCCGCGCCCTGCTGGGGGGGGGGTGTTTGAACACCCCCCCTTGTGGTTTTTCGCGAATATCTCAAAAACGGCGGCGCGGAGCGCCGCCGTTTTTGGTACACCTTATCATACATCAATTCTACACATGTTGTGAAAATTTCAGACCAAGGTCATTCAAGGTCAGGTCACCAGGTCACTTGAAGTGACCTCACCTCATAAAAAGTTTCAATGTCTGTCATAGCTACACCGAGTGACCGATCGCTTTGAAACTTTCAGCGATTGCTAAGAGCAATAGCATGTACAAAATGTATATCTCAGAATTTTGCTATCGATGACCTAAGGTCAGGTCAATTTTGCGACCTCCCCATTATAAGTCAATGGGAGAAAATTGAAATGCGCCTCTTTTGGACGAAAGACATTATAAACACTCCCAAACACTGAATTACAAGTGGTTTAGACACACTGAACATGAAAATGGTGTCCGTGACCCCTGTTTATGCCCTGAGGTCATCTTAGGTCACGAATGGTATTTAACAGTTTTTCGCAAATAACTTTTGATAGAGGCATGCTAGAGCGATGAAAACGCCTTAGATGTGTTCAGCTCGACGATACGGATCGACTGATATGCAACATGACCCTTTCCGGTCAGGTCATGACCTTGACCTGAGGTCAAATTTTCAAGTTGACCTTTCAAGGTCAAGTTATAGTTCATTCGATGCGTCTTGACGAGAGGAACACGATGCCGGTAAAAGTAAGCTCGTACAAGACTTGGGTCAAAAGTTATTGCAGAAAAACTGTTTCCGAAAAAATCGGCTATTTTTGCAGTTTTTGCCCCCTGCAGGCAAAACCGTTGACGTTAGGTCAAATCTGAGAAAATTACTCAGAAAGGGCGTTAATAGGGCTATCAAATGCGCTTTTCCGCGGCGCTGTAGCTCTATTGGTTCCCGAGTTATGCGTTGGCTTCTTGGAAATTGTTGACATTCGACCTGGAAATCGGCGAAATTTTGCCTTCAATGACCTCTGGTGACCTGACCTTTGACCTGACCAAAAAATTGACCGAAGTGATTTCCTCATTATTTTTGACGCTCTTTCGAACGCCGCCTTCCGCGTATCGCTACGTGGCCCAGGAGCCGAGTTAGAAGGGGGGTGTTCAAACACCCCCCCCCAGCAGGGCGTGGAAATCCAGGACCCCCAGCCGGGCGCGGGTTAAAGATGGTGATGAAATTGACCAATAACATGGCAGTGAGACGTATTTTTATATAACAAAATAAGGCCGAAAATATATAACTTATAGAAACTATAGAACTATACAGAACTATATATAACTTGTAGAACTATAGAAAATTGTTCTTGGTCAATTTCATCACCATATTTAATTATTTGATCATGGCAAAACCGACCATTCAATACATCAAGACACATAAACGTAGACTGTGTGCATTGAGCAAATTATTAATCGGCCGCGGGCCCCCATGCTGCATAGAGCTTTTGCCAAATTGTCAGGGAGCTCAGATTTGTTTTTCAATAGAAAAAAAACACAATTCTAACGAATAGTGTTTTAACTATTAACAACAAACCTTCGGTAACTGTGATTGTTGAACTTAGTATCACACCAACTCATGCTAGTCTCCATGGAAAACTAAGTCATTTAGTTTTATTATCTAAGCCAAGTATGGAATAAGTGTCTATTCTTCACCAACCATCAATTTTTTCTATATTGCTCGCTGTTCATTTTTGAAGCAATAGCAAATAATTTACTCTTGTTGCAGCGCAATGCAAAAAGCGTTGCAACGTGTGGTGGAAACAGTGCTCACTGAAGTGTCGCAAGGGCTTCATTGGCTGGTGCTGCAAGCCCAGGAAGATCACCAAACGTAAGTATTTGATTGCGCGCTGGCTTTCTATCGCTGCCACTGTTTTCCTTTGAAAATAAAAGAAATTCACTAGCCTTTTCATGCTTCGATTCAAGGTAAATCACCATTGCATTGCTTGCAATTAGGTGTATCACTCCAAAAGAAATGACTTTGCTGCATTTTTATATTGCGATGATATACGCTGGACAACTTTGTTTAGCCATAATCGATCATTTCAACCCCCTATAAATAATGGATCGTCTCACTGAACCCAATTTTCGATTGCAGCCCAGTGTCTGAAGAGATGCAAGGGCAAGTACAAGTACTGCTCAAAGAGGGGTTGCGCTAAGGGCTTCCTCGGATACTGCTGCAAGACTCGCCCCTACATCAGCCTCAGTAAGACGCTTTGTGAAAACTAGAAACTCGCTTTATCGAGCACTTACTTTGTAAATATTTTGAATCTCAACTATGCCACAACAAAAAACGTTACTCCGATGGGTAATGGTATGGTTGCAAAATAAGAAACGGAAAGCACAATGTTAGGACTCAAGGCCGTTATGACCGGGCAGCTCTGAACTCGTTTAGCTTATCAGGTTTTGCATCCTTCTGAAGGAGCTGCCGAAGCTGATAGATGGTGGTTTGAAAAAAATCCAGTTTTATTGAATGATTTCCAGAGCATTGACAAACGGTTCTTCTATCATCACAGAAAAATGTCTTCACACGTGCAAGGGCAAGTACAAGTACTGCTCCAAGAACAAATGCCCCAAGAACATCCGTGGATACTGCTGCAAGAAACGTCCGGTCATCACCAAGAGTAAGTTTGGATACTGGTACTTGTTGTTAAGTTGATAAATATAATGCAATAATTTGTGTTCAAAAATCATATGTCACGTTTCACGTTTCATTTCAATTCACTTGCCAACTAAAATACAATCACTTCACGTTTGCATGTGGTGTTATGGAAAACATTGGCTTTTTCAGAGCAATGCCTGAAGACCTGCAAGGGCAAGTACAGGTACTGCTCCAACAAGAAATGCCCAAAGAACATCCGTGGATACTGCTGCAAGACCCGGCCCTACATTAGTCTGAGTATGTAATGGGTTTCTCTTCACTCCTTTTTTATGAAAAAAAAAGATTATCACGCGAGCGCTGCTTATCTACGACTATTCCGAATCACATCCTTGCTATAATGTTTCAGAGAAATGCCTGTACACGTGCAAGGGCAAGTACAAGTATTGTACCAGCAAGAATTGCCCCAAGAACATTCGGGGCTACTGCTGCAAGACCCGCCCGGTCACCACCAAGAGTAAGTGGCTCAACCAATCGGTTGGTTGATGCGCACCTGCATTAATTTTTTACATGTTAGCATGCTTTACTGGATTAATTGGCAATTCGTCAAAGCTTCATGAATTATTGTATAGTATTTTTCTATTTCATACGGTTAAACTGATCGGTTACATTTGATAAGCCGTGTACAAGTGCTTAAGATTTTCGTTAATAAATTTCTCTTCATCTCCAGAGCAATGCCTGAAGAGATGCAAGGGCAAGTACAGGTACTGCTCCAACAAGAAATGTCCCAAGAACATCCGTGGATACTGCTGCAAGATCCGGCCCTACACCAGCCTGAGTATGCTATTTGTGAAGTCTAGGGACCCGTATTTATAAATGGATGACTTTGCAGTAAAAATGCTTTAAAAACAGATACTATACATCAGCTCATAAATTTTACTCTCTGACAAGGGTGTCATAGGGAATTTGGAATTGGACCGTATCACATGTTTGTTATTTTTTTCAGAGAAATGCCTGCACACCTGCAAGGGCAAGTACAAGTACTGCTCCAAGAACAAATGCCCTAAGAATATCCGAGGATACTGCTGCAAGAAACGTCCGGTCATCACCAAGAGTACGTAATAGCCGAACGAGTGATTAGAACAGTTTAACTCTCGTGAAATATAAAAGAACGGTGTCTATGCAATTGCACATACACTTGTAAATTTTGTGAATGGATATCTATGCATATTAACTGTCTTGTTCTGTTTTTGGTGTAACGCCTTCTCCCGGACTTTATTTGTTTTGCATGTGCTCGGACCTTTGATGAACTTGACCTTTGGACAAACTTGCAGTACAGTAATCACCGCCAGTCTCAGAATTTCACTTATGACTTTTCCAGAGCAATGCCAGAAGACCTGCAAGGGCAAGTACAGGTACTGCTCCAACAAGAAATGCCCCAAGAACATCCGTGGATACTGCTGCAAGATCCGGCCTATCATTACTCTGAGTACGTTTTTGTCAGCCAAATTCTACACAAAGAAATGGTTGCCGCACTATACTTTTAGCTTTGGTTATTTCTTGATATTGAACGTATTCAGTGAACATGATCTATGCATCCTTGTTACCTAAAATGTGATAACTTTCATTATCCGTATAACTTTTTTTTACCATAAATACTTGTCCCTTGAGCTTTGAGACAATGCCTAATACCTGGCAACATTTTTTTCTTTTCTTTTTTAGAGCAATGCCTGAGGACCTGCAAGGGCAAGTACAAGTACTGCTCCAACAAGAAGTGCCCCAAGAACATCCGTGGATACTGCTGCAAGACCCGACCGGTCATCACCATGAGTGCGTCGATTATTTGAGTTCTTTACGCAGACACTGTCAGGAAATTTACAATTACCATTTCAGTTTTTAATGCCACTGAACGATGGTGAAAACCGAAATGTGCAACGCTCATCACATTTATCACAATGGAACATGTCTATTGCTGTACTTAAACCAATCACAAAGCTGTGCGCAAATAACTCTGAATATGTGACATACATATTATCATAATTTTCAGAGCAATGCCTGAAGACCTGCAAGGGCCAGTATAAGTACTGCTCCAACAAGAAGTGTCCCAAGAACTTCCGTGGATACTGCTGCAAGACCCGGCCCTACGTCTCTCGCGGTGCGTGCAGTATACACAATACTTCTGTATATACAATACAATATACAATACAATACTACAATACAATACAATACAATATACAATACAATACTACAATAAAATACAATACAACATATTCTGAGGCAGCGTTAATCGCTCAATTATGAACGAATTCGCCTAACGCAAACTATATCATTGTCAATTTCAAACTAATTTCAAATACACCCGCATAAATTGTAAGTGAACACAAAGGCGAAAGTGCAAAAGGAAAGCCAAAACACAAGAGGGACGAATTTATGCGTAGAAACTAGAAATAGAAGGTCTAGGCCGTTACACGATATCCTCAAACATCAATACACTAGATCATGTAAATAGATTGGTTGAGTTCTTAATAAGTGTCTTCTTCATTTTCCAGAGAAATGCAAGGCCTCCTGCAAGTCCACCGGCATGTACTGCGTGAACAAGGGCTGCCCCAAGAACTACCACGGCTGGTGCTGTCTCAAGATGAGCTGCAAGGGCAAGAAGAAGTGCTAGACCCATACCCTGCTAGACCCCATACGACGATCAACCAGTGACCTAAAATCACTAAGATGACCTGGCTCCGAAAATAAACGTGAAACCCGTGCTGAACTTACCCGAGCACCCGGGATGTATGGTTACACTGCATGTTTTGAAATCGGAATAAATGATTGATGCATTTATGCTGCTGTTTTGAAATGCGAGGACATGTCTATTCTATAATGGCTTGCCGAATGGGTGGGAGGGGGAGGAGAGGACTAACAACGTTTGAACTCTGATCACAAAACGCCCTTGGACGTAAGTTCTAAAATGAAAACTATCACAAGACCGTATTCTCTGCGATGAACTCGATAGCATTATGCGTATGAATGAAGAATCATTGAGCTTACACAATACAACTACACAAATGCAAATATCATCATCGTGTTCGCCTATCCAAAATGACCAAAGTTTAGCTCAAGAGTCATTAGAGAATGGAGATACGCATGCTGCTCAACAAATCTTGAATTATTTAGCCGTCCACATACCATAGAAACTCGAAAGACAACGAAAAAGTAATTATTAAGACACAAGCCGAATAGATGCTCAAAATACGGATGATGTTTTTACAGTAATAATATGAAGAAAATTCCATGGGTGGAGCTTTTCCGGGGAAGTTGGTGGGGCAAAATGCCGTCAAACCTACAATGACCGATTGTCAAGTTAAATAAAATTAATACTGAATCAGAATCCATCATTACAGATGCAACATTTTTAATTAAACAGACGTTACAAAGTTTCTCAATGCGAAAAAGATTGCATTGCAAAGCAGCAAAGTCCTAGAAATCAGTTAAGACCGAAATTATGAGCGGCCTCAGCGGCAGACATAAACAGTTATTCGAGTTCCCATTCTGGGATCGATCAACTCTAGATCGTGAGGTAAACAGTAAACATACCGACTGAAATTCTGAATTGGCCTGATGACCATGTTTATTTAAGATTGAACTGCTGTCCTTGCGCACAAAGTTTACACAAACCTGGCCAGTGAAAAGTCACAGTGGTTTTAAAAATGCATGTGTTTGTATCTCGAAGCCAAACATAAGTCGGGTGCCAGACGAACCGACCTGCAGTTCTTCAAGGGCCGCTGAACGAGGCCTGTCTCTGGTCGACTGCTGTGCCGCCATCCGGAGTCGGGGCTGACGGAGGCCTAGAGGAGGACCACCGAGCAGCATTTGGGAGGACTGACGGAGTCCACAGAGGTCTGACGTGGCGATCTGGGCTAACATGTCTCGTGTGACCATCTCCCTACTTCTGGTGGCGGTGGCCGGGTTTGCCAGCAGCGATACTGAGGTATTGGTAAATGAAGAGCTCGCCATCCCGTCTCTGTTCAGCCCTACGCGGTACCTGATGGTGAGACCGGTGTCCAACCCCTCTGAGAAGATCCGCGTCAGCACCGGCGTTTCTCTGGTTGACGTGGACTTCCAGGAGTCTGCCAACACGGCCACGCTGGGTGGGTGGCTGCAGCTGGAGTGGCTCGATCAGCGGGTGAGCTGGAGCGGCGGCAATGTGACAAATACGCGCGTCAATCCGGCCAACATCTGGAGTCCGGACCTGACCGTCTACGATCGGCTGCCCGTGACGGCCAACTGGGTGTTGCCGATGCCGGCGGTCGTCTACCGCAACGGCAAGGTGCTGAACGTGCCGCCGGTGAGCTTCACAGTGCGCTGCCAGCGCCGACAGACCGACACACAGGACCGCGTCACCTGTCCCTTCAAACTGGGCTCCTGGACGCACAGCGTCGAGGAGATGGAGCTGGTGCTGAAGAGCAAGACCATCAGCACCGACGAGATGATCAACAACGGACGCTGGACGGTCGAGTCGACATCGCTGGCCTACAAAGAACGGCAGTACGATTGCTGCGAGGAGATGTACGGTCACATCCAGGGCGAGATCGTTCTGAAGCCTCAGCTCTCTTAGGCCCGTTGTACCAACATGTAGAAAGGTGATGGCGCCAGCCGTCTCTACGTAACTTCTTCAGACAGTCCAGCGCAGGATGACTACGTCGGTGGTGTTGTTACCGTTTAAGTAACTCAGTATATGCACCGTTGAGTGTCGATGCATTCGCTGTAATAATACATTTATAGCGGCTGCCGAACGAAGTGTTGATGTTCCAAGCAAAAATAGGTATGTAATATGTCGGTATACGTTTAGTATCACTTCCCACAAATAAGCTTTTGCTACAGTTTAACCCTCGCCGGCACAGGGGGGAGGGGGGAGGTTGATGCAACCCCCCCTAAGGTTTTTCGCGAATAACTCGCGTAAAAAGCGGCCGATCGCGACGAAACTTTCAGTACCCTCGCATTGATCAATTTCACACCTACCCTGAAAATTGCATGACCCTGACCCAAATGACCTTTGACCTGTGACCTCTTTTCCGAGACCATGTTTGGCCGGAATCGCGATTCGGCGTATGTCGGCTCGCATTGGCCGCGCGTTTGCAAGCTTTTCGTGGTTTCAAACGTTCAGACATGTGATTTGATGTTGCTCCCATACATTAGGGTGGGTGTCAAGGTCACCTGAAGGTCAGGTCAGGTCATTGACCTTTGGTGACCTCGGGTGACCTCGGTTCACTTTTTCGAGTTTTACATGTTTCTAGGCTAGTTTTTGGAGCTGAATTCGAATTTAGCAACCATTTGAACATTTACGAAGTAGTTTTGGTGCCTTCGTAACATGTTACGTAGCTTTCAGAGGCGGTTGACACGTATTACGAATACCCGTCACAACCCCTACCGGTTGACCTGACCTGACCTGACCCGACCTGGTCAAAATGCTTAAAGACATTATCTCTGATCAAAACTAACACGATATTCGTGATCAGCACCCCGGAAAACCACATAGCAGCCATACTTTTCAACTTTCTGACAGGTCCCGATTTTCCCGGTTTTCGGGTCATTGACCTGACCTGGAAGGTCACCCGATGACCTAGGACCTTAAAATTGGGTATCATCGGCTTCCTCTCGTGAAGGGCAGCACGCTCGTTTTTTCCGCGAAGCTCTAGCTCGATCAGGGGCCAAACGCGAGGGGGGTCGTACCAACCCCCCCCTTGTGCCGTCGAAACGCAAAATGGCCTGTGCCGGCGAGGGTTAACCCGCGCCCGGCAGGGGGTCCTGGATTTCCACGCCCTGCTGGAAGGGGGGGGGGTCTGAACACCCCCCCCTTCTAACTCGGCTCCTGGGCCACGTAGCGATACGCGGAAGGCGGCGTTCGAAAGAGTGTCAAAAGTAATGACGAAATCACTTCGGTCAATTTTTTGATCAGGTCAAAGGTCAGGTCACCAGAGGTCATTGAAGGCAAAAGTTTGCCGATTTCCAGGTCGAGTGTCGGCAATTTCCAAGATGCCAACGCATAACTCGGGAACCAATAGAGCTACAGCGCCGCGGAAAAGCTCATTCGATAGCCCTATTAACCCTCGCCCATGTAGGGGGGGGGGGGGTTGGTGCAACCCCCCCTGAAGTTTTTCTTAGTTACACGCCGAACCGTTTCAGATAGCCTGCTCAAATTTTCAGTACCCTTTGGGGCATCCTTTGCGCAACTTTTGGTATTTTTTTTGTCAAGGTCATGTCAGGTCACGGAGTTATGACGTCATAAAGGGAACAACCTCCGGCTAGATTTACGCTAAATTGGAGATTGCTTCACATTGGTATAAATGCCGACTGACCTGACACACTGATGGATTGTTTTAGAATCACAACTGGCTGATTTGGCATTGGCACAATGTCTGTTGACATTTTGAAGGTTACTAAAGGTCAAGGTAAGGTCAGTGACCTCGGTTGACCTGTAATGACTTTTTGCACTTGTATGCCTTTTCGGGGTATTTTGATGCCCTGAATTCGAATTTGCTATCCATTTCAGGCATCGTCGGTTGTTTCTTGTAGCTCATTTTGGGTCAGGGTCAGGTCAGTGACGTCACACGCCTGACGTGACCCAATGCACAAATGACCTTGCAGACTTCCGATGCTCCCAACGCATCATTTTTAGAGTTATGACATCGAAATACACACCAAATGATAGAGAATTGATCAAGGATCACGATAGTGAGGTTTCAAGTCGATATCTCTTACCGTTCTGCCGCAATCGGCGCGGAAATCTGAAAAAGTTAGATTTTTCCGAAAATTTGACCTTTGACCGGTCATAAGTAGGTCAAATGTTGACCTAGGACCAAAAAATATACCACCAATCGCCAGATCTCGTTAAGAGCAATCCGTTGGTCTTTTCCGCTAAGCTCTACGACGCCCCGTTTTCAAACGCCAGGGGGGTCGCACCAACCCCCCCTGCATGGGCGAAGGTGGCAAAACACCGTTTACGGGCGAGGGTTAACGCCCTTTCTGACTAATCCTCTCAGATTTGACCTCACGTCAACGGTTTTGCCCAAGGTTTTGCCTGCAGGGGGCAAAAACTGCAAAAATAGCCGATTTTTTCGGAAACAGTTATTCTGCAATCACTTTTGACCCAAGCCTTGCACGAGCTTACTTTTACCGGCATCGTGTTCCTCTCGCCAAGACGCATCGAATGAACTATAACTTGACCTTGAAAGGTCAACTTGAAAATTTGACCTCAGGTCAAGGTCATGACCTGACCTGAAAGGGTCATGTTGCATATCAGTCGATCCGTATCGTCGAGCTGAACACATCTAATGCGTTTTCATTGCTCTAGCATGCCTCTGTCAAAAGTTATTTGCGAAAAACTGTTAGATACCATTCGTGACCTAAGATGACCTCAGGGCATAAACAGGGATCACGGACACCATTTTCATGTTCAGTGTGTCTAAACCACTTGTAATTCAGTGTTTGGGAGTGTTTATAATGTCTTTCGTTCAAAAGAGGCGCATTTCAATTTTCTCCCATTGACTTATAATGGGGAGGTCGCAAAATTGACCTGACCTTAGGTCATCGATATCAAAATTCTGAGATAAACATTTTGTACGTGCTGTTGCTCTTAGCAATCGCTGAAAGTTTCAAAGCTACCGGTCTCTCGGTGTAGCTATGACAGACATTGAAACTTTTTATGAGGTGAGGTCACTTCAAGTGACTGTAACGTGCGTCTCTCTCGATTAATTGCTTATTGTTGTTGTCTACGCTAACCGTCGCTTCTATTTTAGTGGGTTTAGGATTAAATAGTTGTAGTTCGATTTTACCTGCGTGGTGGCCCTATTTCAATTAGGCATTTTCAACGTTCATTACTCCACTGTATCTCTGCCGTGCGGGGCCGACTTTGCCGAGACCCCACACGCCGCTGCGCTGCCGTGCCGCCGCGCCGTCGCCCAGCCGTGGCGCCGCGCCGCCGCCCAAAGCCGTTTCGTCACGGTGTCACGCATGTCCATCTTCTGAGGATTTAGCGGCGCGCGCTATTCAACTATCTCGGCTCTGCCCTGTACTTAACAAAAGCTTTAGATCTACCGTTTACATACCTGTCCATCATAGTTTAGTCACACTTAGTCAGTACCGGGTGAGCCTCGGGCAGTGCAACTCCCACCTCCGACGAGGTAGTGACCAATCGCAAACTGTGTAACCATATATGAAATGCTCTCCTGGTCAATAGTAAGCTGCCACGTAGGTTAGAAGGCTACGCCCTAACGTTAGAGTAGTTCTGCTCTTCCCGGACGGAGGAACGGGGGAGAAGACCTAGAGCCACCATCGGCGCCGGACGTGTTACCAGTCCGGGAAGACCACAGGGCTCCACAGCCGCTGGACGCATAACATCTGCTCCGCGTGCTTGGGAGAAGACCCCCGGCGGCCACTGAGGCCGGACGTGTACCTGCATCGGTCTCGACCGACACTGTAGCTGACCACCTCGCTCTGTGTTGTGCTCGACAATACACCTGGACCGGCAGAGCATCTCTTCTGGTAAAGGGCTGACGACAACACCGGCGCGCCCCGCCCTGGGCACGAGAAACCGCCGTGTTACATTGGTGCCGCTGACGTCGGATCGAACCTGCCGAAGAAGCCGTCTTCTCACTTCCATCTGCTTCTTCTTGCGCCGATTCTATTCTTCAGTCCGAACTCTGCCGCCGACGAACTCTGCCGCTGACAAACTCTGCCGATGACAAGTACCTGGTCATCGTTGCTGAACGACAGCTGCTACTAGCCAGCTCTCACGGCCACTACATCTGTCGATACTTCACAGTGAGCCGCTGAACAAACTGCTCCAAAGTGAGTACGCCAAAACTTGGCACCGTTTGTCTTCGTCTGTGACAGTCTGAGGTACAAGTGCCCGTACCGGTACCAGCCATAAAGGGCTCTGAAATCAGAACTGTACCAGTTCAGGCCCCAATCTGCCCGAGTTATACGGCAGCCATCTCAACCAGCGCTCGATCTAAGCCGCTGATAACTCCAACCGACCGTCTTTCGTCATCGAGACAAGGTTTAACAGGAAAGAGAGTTCAACTCGCGCTCTCCAACGAGGTCAACTGACGTCATCAGAGAGGCCAACTGACGCTCTTCTGCGAGGCATCTTCATCGAGTGGCTTCAAAAGCGTTCAACGCCCAGCGCTACAACAGACTCTCGCGCGTAATCGAAACAATCCGTCCCGGTGCGTAGTGAAAGTGATAGTGGAGTGATAGTTAACGAGTGAACGACCCATCTTCGGTGACACCAACAAAGGTACGTCTCGACATCTCCCGAGTGGCATTTGATTTTTTTTTTGTTTCTGTTAATATCAACGTAACGCTTATTCATTCTATCTTTGATATTTCTGGCTCTTTGTCGCTTCAAGGATGGCTCAAAACGAATCGTCTCGTTCGCATGCTCCCGCTTCTGCTTCCTCAAGCCAAATGATCAATGCAATGATGCACGGTTTCGGTGTTCTAAAGAACCAACTTATGACTAACCAGTCGGTGTCGGGCAAACATCATTTTGATGGCACAAGTGGTGAGCATTTTATCAAATGGCTTGCTGAAATGGACAACTTATACCTAGCACTGAAAGGCGACGAGGAACAAACTCTTTGGGCTGCTAGTCAAACACTTAAAGGCACAGCTCTTGATTACTTCCATGAGGTATCTCCGTCTATTGATTCTTGGGCACGATTCAAAACTCTCATGACCCAACGTTACCACTACCTAGACGATGCGGATACAGCGAAACAAAAACTAC